AGGGGATCCCTTCGTCTCCGGCCAGCCATGGAGACAAAGGGTTCTCCATGGCCGGCCAGAGACCCCTTCGTCTCCGGCAGTTAGTTTTTTTTTTTTTTTTTTTTTTTTTTTTTTTTAAATAATTTATTATTTAAAATTATTAAAATAAAAGTTTAAAAAATATTTTTAATTTTGTAACCCACACAATAGGTAAACAAGTCATTTTTGGTGAAATTGCATGAATTTGTGTAGTTCAAGGACCTAATTGTAGTTTTTTTGAGTTGGGTGGCCTAATTGCATTTTGGTGTGTAATTGGATGGCCTATTTGACCCTTATTCCTTTTTTCTTTTTTTTTTCTTTTTTTTTTTTTAGCATAAAGAAGCTAATTCATTAAGCATATGGTGAAATGTTTACAATAAAGATTGATGGAATTGACAAACATTTCTTACACTTAGACATAGAAACAACTTCCATAGCAATGCTACAGAAAACTTGATTCGCAGATTGTTTCACAAATTTAAAGCTTCTTTAATGGTCTAGTCAAACGTACCTAAGACTAACTCTGGTTGAATAGTCTTGCACACCGGCCACCTGAGTATTTCCATTCTTTGCATTGAAAATATCTCTATCGGACTAAGGGGGGTGTATTCAATCATGACTTTCAGAGAGTTTTAAAGACTTTTATGAACTTTAAAAGTTTAGAGGTATTCAATTCAAACTTTTATAAAGTCTTTAAAAATCAGGCAATATTCAATCAAGAATTTTAAAGAGTCTTTAAAAGTCGGATGGTATTCGATTAAGACTTTTAAGGTGTCTTTAAAAATCATGTGGTATTCAAAAAGTTATAAACTTTTGTAGACTTTTTAATTATAAGACTTTTGTAAACTTTTTCTTCTCAAATATAAATAGTTGAAATCCAACCATCAACCCCAAGATTTCAAAGTTTTCTTTCTACCAACTCTAGATGTTTTCTCTCTCAGCTCTATTTTAAACTCTATTATATTTTTTCTCCCCTATTTAAACTTTATAAACCTATCTAAATTCAATAGAATTTTTTTTCTTCAGTATCCTATATTTTCTCCATACCTAATCTCTACTAACCTTTTCTCTGTCCTAAACTTTACAATCTTCTTCTAAAAATTTGAAATAATATTATTTTTACTTCATTATTGCTTGTTCATTACTTCATTATTGCTTGCAAATTATAGTTCTTTGCTTGATGCCTAGCAATATTTCAAATATAATTTTTTTATATATATTATTAATTATTAATATTATTTTTTAAATTATTTTATGCAACTTGTAATTATATTTTTAAATATTTTATTTGATCAATTCTTTTACTATAAATTTTAGCTTTCAATATTGTTATGAATTTCTAATAAAATAATTTTTTTTTTATTATTACTGATGCTTATAATATATATATATATATATATATATATATATATATATATATATATATATATATATATATATATATATATATAATTAGCATATAAGTTTCAGCATATTATGGATAAAAATAATAATGTTGAGAATGTTGATATAGGTGAAGAACTATACAATAAGAAGAATTTTATGATATATTATAACATGTTCTGTAAGAAAATTATAAATGATAAGAATCGAAATCATTGAAAGTTTGTAAGGATGTATTCAATTTAGAATTTCAATGACTTTTGTAGACTTTTTAAAATAAAAAGTAGATAAAAGTTTATGAATGTTTTTTATATAGACTTTTATAGAGTCTTATAAAGTTTTAAAAAAGTTTTGAACGACTCTATGAAAGTCAATCAAAGTTTATTAAAATAATCAATAATCAATTATTTTAAAAGTCTTTAAAAGTCAACAAAAGTCATGATTGAATTGAATACACCCCCTAAGTCTCTTTTTTATTTTTCATGTTTGTCACCCAGGATGAGATTCACATACGTCATGACTAGTTTTATTGTTTCACGCTTTATGAAAAAGAACTCGCTAAGTAAACGAGAGGAAGAAACTCGTCAAAATAACGGGAGGAAAAAACACAGAAACTGCAAACAAAATTAAACCAGTAAAACAAAACAAAGGGATACAACAGTGTGAAAATAAGAGAGTAACGACCGGTAGCTGTAGAGATGGAATTGTGGGGTCAGGCGTAATCGGTGGCGAAGATGGAGAATGAAAGAGAATACGGTGAAGACAGAGAAGACAATGGAGATGAACGCTGATGATTAGGTGCTTTAACAGTAGTAGTAAACTGCTGATGATTAGGTGCTTTAACAGCACCAGTAGATGCCAAGCCAGTATGCATCGGTGGAGGAAGTGAATCGCGTGACTATAAAGATCAAAATTAGAAAACATTAGCAGAAGTCGGCATATATAACACGCATTTAGCCTCTCAGATTCATCAAACCAAAGCGTACCTCGATTATGGCAGAATCATCAAGCAGAGATGGGACACTTGGTGGAGAAGATATAACGCGCAAATCCTGCAAAACCACCAAAACAATATCACGGGATTCACTCTGATAACTATGTGTTTCTTTTCAACTAAAATGTTTAGTTAAGCTGATAGTTGGATTGCACATTTATGTTTATATATTATATATGCTCAACGATTATTGCAATGCTCACATTCATATCACTGCCATAGAAAACTACGTAGTTGTAGATTTTGTCGCTTGGAGCAACCACAAAAGCAGGCCTTCGTCCCTCGGTTCCAAAAGATTTCACTGCAGCAGGTACAAATGAAGAACATGATTGGAGTACGTACTAGGTAAAATAAGTTGATAATTATAAGGATCCTGTCACACATAGCAATTCAATTGGCTCTTCTTAAACCTCACACCACAGCTCACTACAAGCCTAACTGCGGAATAATGACTATTATTGCGCACGAGCTTAGCTCATTGGTTCAGTAGGCAGTATTTGGGAGAAGAGACTAAGGTTCAAACCTCGGTAGCGGCAGTGTGGAAATTATGCCCATTCATTGTGCGCACCGGCATTTGGCCCTGTCTGCTGAGCCATTGAGTTATCCTAATTTACATCCTCCCAAATACTCTGTCGAGAGGGGCTGGGAGAAGAATAATGACTACTATATTGCCTGACATTTATGAAGCACAAATTAAAATTCAAGACCATCCATCTTTACATTTATTTCTAATTGAAGGAGTTGGAAATTAACTCAACTTAAACAACTAAATCCTCTATTCTTTCCTTTCATGGAAGCATCTAATTCAAGTGGGCAATCGAAACTTTATAAAGAAAGAAATAGATCAAACAATGAAGTTCACTCCACTCTCTAGTTTGATATCTATTTCTGATGAGAGAAACTCACAACCACTACCCGATGACATGCACTGGATAAATCCTGCTTTGTGACCTTAGCCAGCAGAGGATCACAATGAGGTAAACCAGTCTAGATTGCACATAGCTGACCAACTCATATCTAAGAGGTTAATAGGCCGCTCGAGTTGGGAATTGAACTTGCAAAGTAATCCTAACAAGAGCAATTTGCAAAGTGATCCTAAAAGAGCTGCATATGGCATAGTAAATGACATAGTATTAACAATAGGCAAAGATGATCATGAATGCAACTTACTTTCTACATCAAAGGAAATAGAGTTAATAGACCATACTCCTAACCATTATCTACAGTGCATTTTCATGGCTTGAAAACGCCATCTACTTTTCTTTATCAATCTTCGAAATACATCCCTTTCAAAAAAAGTAATCAAGCAATCCTTTAACATTTGAAACTTTAATGTTTAGTTAGAGTCAAAAATTAAGATAAAACTTTAGTTTATATAATCATATACAAATATAGACAATTCACAATTGCTATTCTAATTCCTTTGTACATTTATATAATTAAGACAATTGAATAAAGAAAATTTTAAGAAAGAAATAATTATATTATTAAAATTGAACTTAATCATATCGTTCCTCATTGCTCCTACACTGGAAATCAGTGGAGGAGATAAATTCAGAGATGTGCTACAATTGGTTTATAAGATCCTAAGTGCTTGTAAATTAGCGTCACAATAATGCCAAATCCAAATATAATTATATTATTAAAAGTATTCCATGTGGCATTTGAAAACTCTTCCACTAAGATGTTTATTACCCTAAGCAATTAACCTTTTTAAATTTATCAAACTTACCGCTCACAATATTAAAAATACTAGACTACTAGTTTTTTTGAAAGTCAACCATTGGGTTGTATTTATAGATAAATCACAATAGAGTCAGGGGGGACACTGTCCCAGTACATAGGTAATGTGTAGCTAAAAGCAGTTGCCGCTAACGTATGAGCTAAAGTATTATGCAATCTAGGAATAAAACTAATCGAACAATAATCAAACATATTTAAAAAGGTCCTGCAGTCATCGAGGACGTAGCCCAGGTATGATCTTGGGCGAGTAGTAGTTGACGTCAAATACGTGAGTAATGTCTGGCAATCCGTGTAGAGATTAACCGATTGCTCTCCCCTATCCTTGAGCCACGACAGCACTTCCTTGCATGCCATCGCCTCGGCCATGAGTGGTGAAAAATAGTTTTGCGGTGGAGTACAAAAAGCGGATATATAATTGCCAGTGTGGGTGAACAGTATCGCTCCAACAGTGGCCGTCATGGACGACGGCACATAGCTGGCGTCGATGTAGCATTGCCTCGGCTGTGTTGAAGAGCCCGTAGCAGGCTGCGGCATAATGGCTTGCGGATGTTGCGGCAATAATCCTGGGGCGTTGGCCAGTGGTACAATTTGGTGTGTTACGGCGTGGGGCTGAATGCCATGGGGCGGTGTGACATGAGGCGAACCCATGGACTGCTGGGCAGTTTGATCGGCTGTGGCAGCCCTCATAGCGGCAGTAGCGTGTACTTGCTGCCATGCTTTTACGGTTGCTAAGGCCGTTGCAACAATCTTTTTCGGCATTGATAAATAACCCTTCCACACCGCTTCGTTTCGGGCTCTCCAAATATTGTATAGGATTGCAGCCGCAAAGAATATTTCATCAGAATTTAGAACATCCAATAATGTTCCAAACCAATCATAAAAAACATTTGTCATAATTTGGGGGATTGGAAGGCTAGATTGGCTCCAAATGGCTTTTGCATAGTCACACACTACCAATGAATGCACTATATCTTCATTTACTAGGCCACACATTGCACATAACGGATCAATATCCACTCTCTTCATAAGTAAATTAGTGGTAGTGGGTAATATATTGCTCATTGCTCTCCATAAAAACATTTTCCATTTCGGGGGTATTTTGAGATGCCATAGGGTATTCCATCTATCAAATCCCATGTTTGTATCATAATTGCCCACTATACTTCTGTACCCATTCTTGACGGAGTAGCATCCATTCGGATCCCCGTGCCAGTACCAAGTGTCCTCATAATCCGGGGAGATGGGGATCTTTAAAATTCTAGTTACATCATTTGGTTGGAAAATATCAGCTAGAATATGGGGGTCCCACATCCCAGTTGTTTGATCAATCAATCCTGCAACCTTAGCATCTGCCAACTGTACTGGCATCTCAGTCTGAATCATAGGATCTAATTCGTCCTGGAGCCATGGGTCTTTCCATATTAGAGTCGACTCACCATTTCCAATCCGTCGTCGCACCCCACTGGTAATTAATTCTTTTGCAGCCATAATACTCCTCCAACAGTAGCTAGGATTATTGCCTATACTTGCTTCTGAAAAAGTTAGTTTAGGATAATACCTAGCTTTATACACACGGGATACCAATGAGTCAGTATTTGTTAGGAACCGCCAAGCTTGCTTCCCCAACATAGCCAAATTAAATGCCTTCAGGTCCTTGAAACCTAGGCCCCCATATTTCTTGGGTATACACAGTCTATCCCATGCCTTCCAATGAATTCCTCGGTCAGTTCCTGTTCCCCACCAATATCTGTTCATTACCCGCTCAATAGCTGTACAGACAGAGGTTGGTAACATGAAAATACTCATTGAAAAGGTAGGCATTGCCTGAGCCACACTTTTCAATAATATTTCCTTACCGGCCTGTGTTAAAAGTTTCTTACTCCACGAGCCAATTCTTTGCCTGATCTTATCTTCAATATAAGCAAATGCTGCCTTTTTATTCCTTCCTATAAAAGCTGGTAACCCCAAATATTTTCCAAAATTCGGAGCTTGGGTCACCCCCAGGATCTGTGCCACCATCTCTCTATCACCACTACATGTGTTCTTGCTATAACAGATACTAGACTTATGATAATTCACCATTTGTCCTGAGTAGGCTTCATATCTGGCCAAACAATTTTTAATCTCAACTGCCTCATCCTGATTAGCTTTAAAGAACAAAAGGCTATCATCTGCAAAGAATAAATGAGAAATCGGTGGTGCACCTCGTGCCACCCTGCAGCCATGAATTAAACCACTATCCTGTGCCTGTTGAAGTAATAGGGAAAGTCCTTCTGCACATATAATAAACAGATATGGTGACAATGGATCGCCCTGCCTGAGACCACGTGTAGGCATGATTGGGTCACTAGGAGAGCCATTTATCAAAAACTTATAAGACACTGTAGTCACACATAACATGATCAGTTCCACCCATCTCTCATCAAACCCCAAAGCTTTTAACATCCCTTGTAGGAAAGGCCATTCCATTCGATCATAAGCCTTTGCCATATCTAATTTTAAAGCACCCCACCCAACTGCTCCACACTGTTTTCTGTTAAGAAAGTGGCCCACTTCTGTTGCTATCAAAATATTGTCGGTGATGAGTCTATCTGGTATAAATGCACTCTGTGTACTAGATATGACACTATCCATCAGGGGCTTCATTCTTTGAGTAATCATTTTTGCCATTATCCTATAAACAACATTACTTAGGGCTATGGGTCTTAAATCTGTCACCAGCTCAGGCATCTCCTTCTTCGGTATTAACACAACATTTGTTTCATTCAATGCAGAGGGAAAAACACGAGTATTAAGACATTCAACAATATAATGTGCCAGATCCCCACCCACCACATCCCAGTAGTGCTGATAGAAGCCAGGATTCATTCCATCTGGACCCGGTGCCTTATCAGGGAACATCGCAAATAGGGCACTTCTAACTTCATCCACCCTAAAGGGTTGTAATAATGTATCATTCTGGTCCTGTGTGACTTTCGGTGTAACTTTCTCAAACAATTCATGCCCATCCCCCGGATTACTAGAGCAAAAGATATTGGCAAAATAATCCAAAACCACATCATTCATTGCCTCCCCTTCCACCCAATCCCCAGTATTATCCATAATTCTAGTTATAAAGTTTTTCTTTTTACGGTGAGAAGCATACATGTGATAGAATCTTGTATTGGCATCCGCATTTTTCAACCAGTGTTGTTTAGCTCTTTGTTTCCAGTACGCATCCTCCTGGGCCTCAACACGGCTCAATTCCTCCTCCAATCGCTGAAATTCAGCCAACGATTGTGAGTCCGTTCGCCCCCTCAATCGTAACTGGTCACTTCGGAGTTGCTTAATACGTTCTCCAAATTTATGGTAGCGATCACCCCCCCCAACGAGATAATCGTTTCCCACAATATGTAATGCACTCGTGCAGCCCCTCATGCCTTTTCTCATTCCATGCTTCTTCCACCACGGCCCTACAACCCTCATCATAGATCCATGCCATCTCGAACCGGAATTGTTTTCGTACCCTCCCCCTCCCTACCGGGTCATGAATCCCCAGAAAGAGAAAGGAATGGTCCGATCTTCTGGTCAGAATATTAGTCACTCTTGCCCCCGGGACACAATCACGCCAGGTATTCGTGGCCAATACTTTGTCCAGTCTCTCCTCCATCCACCGATCTGTGCCCTTCCCCTTTTCCCATGTAAACTGGTACCCTTCCATTGGCAGCTGAGTCATACCACAAAATTCAACGGCCTCCCCAAAACCCCGTAAAAGGTAATTAGGATGTGGATTACCTCCCCTCTTCTCATGTTGAAACAAGAGATCATTAAAATCCCCTATCATAACCCATGGTAGAGTGGATTGTTGCTTCAGAGACTTAATGAGATTCCATGCGTCCCTTCTTCTACTTCGGAGCGGATAACCATAATAGCAAGTCATCCGCCAGTTTGGGAAACCAGCTATGCTAATTTCCAAGTCAATATAATTCTTCGAGAAACTCATCAATCTTGCCGTATTGTTCTTTCTCCATAACAAAGCCAAACCACCACCCATTCGCACTGGATCAACATAAAATAATCCTTCAAACCCAAGCTTCACTCGTAACCTCTCTGCATTGTCACGTTTCACTTTAGTTTCCATCAGAAAAACAAAATCAGGCTTCTTCCGGGCCACCATGCCCTTTATTTCCCGAACTGTTCGTGGATTGCCCAAGCCACGACAGTTCCAGCTTAGCGTACACATTGGGTCGAGCGGGCCTGTGACACAAGACCCGCCGCATGCAAGTTTTTTGGAGCCATGTCGGTTTCCACCACATCCCCCATTACCGTACCCTCCCCTTCCACGCCGGACGCATCCGCACGGCGCCGTTTGGATGATGCCGTGACATCCTCCTCCGGGCCAACATGTTGCTGTGCCATAACAACCTCCTCCATGGCCTCGGTTCCCCCCCCCCCTTCGCCAACTGCCTTCACCGTGTCAACCCCACCAATCGGTGGCAACAACCATGAAGCACCGACCGGCCTTGGTCCTCTGACTTTCCCTGCCCTCATCCATGGCCCATACGGATACAACTCAGGCATAATACCCGACACTCGAGCCTTCACACAGAACTTTTCGAGATGGCCTAGCAACCCACAACAATAGCAGAAATTATGGAGCCGTTCGTACTTCAAGTTGACCCACCCCCAAGACTTATCCCTGCGTATCAGTTTCATCCTCCGCTTCAACGGCTTGTCCACAGGAACCGAGACACGCACACGGTAGAACGTTTTCCAAGGGCCACCCACATTACGGTCATCACACCGAATGAAAGTCCCCACAAAATTTCCAACCTGCTCTAATATTGTATTCGACGTATACCCCATCGGCAAATCATAAGCCTGTACCCACATGTCCACCGTATCCAGCTTAACCTCCCCCGGCAAAAAACCATCACAGACTTGCCGGCACACAAGCGTGTGGTTCTCAAACGACCACGGTCCCTCCTCCAATACCCGCTTCATATCGGTGATATGATAGAAGGCGAATAAGAACAAATTGGACTGCAATTCCGTGACTCGCATCCCCATCACCGGCATCCATGCTGAGGCCATCACATGCCGCATGTACTCGACCTTAATCAACTTAGCCGTGAGAAAACGTCCCACAACCGAGTAGACTTGCTTGCCCTCCTCATCGACCGGTTGGTAAATCCCGTCCGCCTCAACACCGCCTTCCTCCTCCTCTAGCACCATGTCGGCCCACCGCTGAGCCACCGCCTCCATCCCTTCGTTCAGTTCCTGCTGCATCGAAGCCATGGCTCGAAGACGTGAGTAATTCGTCGTAAGAAACCAGTGTTACTAGACTACTAGTTAAATTTAGTAGTTTTTTTTTTTTTTTTTTTGTTCCTAAATATATATAATTCTCAATTTTATATTTCTATTCTTTTGTTAATTAAAATTATGTTTAAAGAGTTACAATTTTTCTATTTGCATTGCACATTGACTCTCATTCTATATATTTTGATGAGTTAATTATAAGATTCTTCAAAATTTATGTATATATAGGTAATAAGTAGCAAAATCTAAGTTGTGTAAATTAATCCCACTAGAAACAAAATAGCCCTGATATGCCTATAGATTCAATCGTTAAACCTAAAAAATTTTCCATCCATAGAAGACATTAGTGACTTGCACACAAGTGGAAAATAGGATAGAATCGACTTATCTAACAATGCAACTTTTCAATTACGATGCCCTTCATTGCCATTTTCAGTCATACACAATATAACAACTCCTTGCATATTTAAGTATTGTATGTTATTTGGGAGAAGTATTGTACATTATTAAATTATGCATATTTATTTATTATTTAATTTTTATATCTTAGTATTTTTTAAATAATTTTAAAATTTTCAACAAATGTAATAATTTTTAACTTTAACTTAAATTATGAGAAAAATATATTGAGGATGACAAGAATTGATATAATTAAGTAACTTAAGTCTTTGAGAATTCAAATATGTGACTACAAAACATTATAACATAAAAAAAATTGAAAATCTTTTGAGAATTCAAATATGATTACAAATACTAAAACATTTTTTAAAAAATAAAAAAACCTTTGAAAAAAAAAATAAGAGAAAAATTATAGAACTGGAATAAATTTTATATTTTCATTGGCTTTGATAATTTGATTTTTATCATTGATCATTTAAAATGTAAAAAATTAAATCATTTTAGTGCATGAATAATTAGGAAAAGCGAAGATTTAAACAATAAACCTATGCATGAATGTGTATTTTATGTTTCATCAATCATAGATGATTTTATCAAGCAAAAACATCTTAGGAGCTGAGGTTTTTCTGCAGTAGAATATTCAAATCATCATAAGTATTTTAAGAATATTTTATATAATCAAATCTCCAATATTGGATCAAACAAATCCTATAAGTTCATTAATAAGGGAAATGCAATATATAGGTGTAATTGTGTAAATAATAATGCAAATATATCCTTTCAAAAAAATATAACAAAGCACTCCTTACTAAACTCAAACATAACATCCTTCTACAACTTATATGAGTATATATATCTTCCAAAGAAGATAAACTAGGCACAAAACTCACGTAATCACAAAGTGTTTTGCTTTGCTATAATTGCCAAACAAACGAAGAGAGAAGCATAACTAACCCAGTCAAGATAACAAAGTTACAAGTTCGAATCCCAACCCTCTTAGTTTAAGTCGGTCAGCTATAAGTAATCCATAATCTAGACTGATTTACCTCTTAATATACCCTCAGATAGTGATCGTGAGTTTTCTTGGTCGCCCGAAAAAGACAGAAAGCACAAAAACAGACAAATGAAAAGGAAGGAGAAGAGCAAAACCATTCTGAAGGGCTATGGTGCATTCCTGAGCGTTGACGTGAAGCTTAGAACCTTCATATCGCATACCAGACTTTGTTGTTAAGCTTATCAGACTGCCAATGCAAGAATCCGCAACAGCTTTAATGGCCGCCGCCTCCGCCATTATATTGGTGGCGCCGGGATTCAACGTCACCTGCGCTGCTAACACTCTACACCAGAAAATAAAGAAAAAACCCGTACTGACTTAACTCACAGTAGAAAATAAAGAAAAAATTCGCACGAACTTAGTTCACTTGTTGGGAGAAAACACTCACAAGAGCTTAGCTCACCGGTAGGGAGAAGATGAAGAAATGAAGAAAATTGAGGGAATTAAGAAAGAAACGGCCGCGGGTCGGTGGAATGGTCTGCGTGTTGTCACCTTGCCCCTAAAGGAAACAACTCTTTATTGTAAAAGAATTAAATGAGAAATAATAGAGTTAATTCCACCAGAGGTCCCTTGTTTTAAGTGATAATTTCAAATTTAATTCTAGATTATTGTTTTTGTCATTTAACATCTTAGATTATTGTTTTTTGGACACTTTTAGTCCTTCTCATGATTTCTCCTATATTTAATAAGGGCATTTTTGTCTTTTCATATTTTTCTTTTGTTATTTTTCTGATTTTAACCGGTTTAATTGGTTTAGGACTTAGGTAATCTCTGAATTTTAGTAGTCATATTTTTCAATCGATTTTTAGTAAAGTCCTAAACCAATTATACCTGTTGAAATCAGAAAAAATCACAAAAGAAAAATATAAAGAGACAAAAATACTCTTACTAAATATCTGAATTTTAGTAGTCATATTTTTCAATCAATTTTTAGTAAAGTCCTAAACCAATTATACCTGTTGAAATCAGAAAAATCACAAAAGAAAAATATAAAGAGACAAAAATACTCTTACTAAAAATAGGAAAAGTCAGGACTAAAAGTGTCCAAAAAACTATAGTCTGAGATTTTAAATGGCAAAAACGATAATTTAGGAATTAACTCGAAATAGTATTATTATTTGAATCTTAATTCGATCATGTTTTCTATATTTAGACTCAATTTTTATATTCTTTTTTTTGGTGTAAACCACACATTGTGGTCCGGGTCTTTCTCTGTCCGTTTAACGGTCCAGGTCCACCCGGTTCGCTCCGGGAGGCACAGAAGCTGGCCCAAAGGGAATCGTCACTTGTGGGAATTGAACCCGGGTTATCCCGGAATTCTCCCCCACAAAAAGAGCTCATTTGCCAGTTGAGCTACCTTGTTGGGTTAATTCAATTTTTATATTCTGTATCCATGTAATAAGTATATTATTTATTCATGAATTAAATATAGAAACCCACATCAAATATATAATAACAAATTTTACTTAAAAAAAAAAAATTAGTCCATATAGTCCATGGGTCATGTATTAATATGAAATGTCCAATTTAAACTATATACAATTAATAAGCAAACTATTAGGCTTGATATTTATGTGCAAAAAAAAAAAAGGAAAAAGATAATTTCAGCATTAAAATTTTAGTAAGTAAATTATACGAAAATATACTAGCATATTTTCAATGGTATTTATTAGCAGTGTTAAAAAGCTTATTTAATTATTACGTTTTTAATAATAAGAGCATTAATCGACAAGATTAATAGTATCGAGATTATTTTAGAAAAAAAAATGCTATCACATTTTCAATGGTATTTATTAGCGGTGCTAAAAGCCTAAAAGGCTTATTTAATTATTACTATTTTTTTTTATTAATAAGAGTATTAAATCGACAAGATTAATTGTATCGAGATTATTTTAGAATAGTATTTTGAATATAAAAATACTAACATATTTTCAATGGTACTTATTAGCAGTGCAAAAAAAGCTTATTTAATTACGGAGTATTACTTTTGTATACGTAGTAATAATGAAGAGTATTAAATTGTCAAAGTTAATAGTATCGAGATTATTTAGAATGTAGTATTTAAATTGTTCTTTCACCTACAAACTTTTAATTGATTCTTTATTTACCTCATTATTATCACTTGTGTAACTATCATTACTTACTTTTCTTCACTACAAACTTTTTTTTTGAAAGCCGTTCACTACAATCTATTTTACGTGTAAATCTCGCTAATTTGAGTAATTTCACATATTTACCTACTCATGCAATATAATCAAGCATTATATATTTATTAAAAAAAGTAATATTACACATAATTACATTTTTTATTTGAATTTTTAATCCTTATTGATGTGCATGATTTGATTATATTACAAAAAGAAGTACGTAGGTCATCCAATTTTATTCTTATCATTTTTTCCTAATAAAAATAAGAGCGTATAACGTAACGAAAATAAATTGAGTACTACTGGCTCTATTACAATGTAGTTAAATAAATGCCCTCTAATTTGAGAGAGTCACATATATGCCGCTTAACCACAATGTTTTTTACTATATTAATTTTTTTTTTTTAATAAAAAAGCTAATTCATTAAGCATATGGTGAAACGTTTACAATAAAGATTGATGGGATTGACAAAAATATTCCTTACAGTCAGACATAGAAACAACTTCTATAGCAATGTTACAAAAAACTTGATTCGCATATTGTTTCACAAATTTAAAGCTTCTTTAATGATCTAGTCAAATGTACCTAAGACTAACTCTAGTTGAATAGTCTTACACACCACCTGAGTATTTCCATTCTTTCCATGGACAATATCTCCATCGAACTAAGGCGGGTGTATTCAATCATGACTTTCATAGAGTTTGACTTTTATGAACTTTAAAAGTTTGAAGGTATTCAATTCAAACTTTTATAGAGTCTTTAAAAATCAGACAGTATTCAATCAAGATAGTACTATCATCCACAACTATTGTGTTAGTGCCAAAATTTGTCATCCCTTAGTTTAAAACATGCTGGAATATGAAATTATTAAGGATATTTTCGTCATTTTCAAATTAAGATCCTAATTTGAACATGAATAAATGAATTTAAGCCCTAAGATTTATCCCAATTCGCAGTTCTTCTCCTCAAATTAAGGTAGGATGGGGAGGAGAACTGCGAATTGAGATGATCTTAGCGCTTAAATGCCTTTATTCATGCTCAAATTGGAAGCCAAGTTAAAAAAAAAAAAGTTAAAAAGTATGAAAATGCCCTTAAAAGTTTCACCCAACACAACTAGACTCATATTTTAATTGGACTAATTAATCTAATTCAAATAAAAATTTGACTGACATCGGGCCAACCTGCCTATCAGCCTATTTGACATTTGACCAATAAGAGTTTACACCGCAATATGGACCCTGGTTCATGTGTTTGTGTTTTGTGTTATGACTTTTTGTGTCTTGCGTTATGCAATTCTGTAGTTTATGAGTATGAATTTTGTACATAGAACAAATTAGTAATTGTATCTTATGTTATGAATTTGTGTATTGTGTTGTGAACTTTTGTGCGTATGAACACAAATTATGTACCTAAATCAGACCTGAAAAATTAAATACATATATAACATGTGCGTGTGTCTTGTGTTATGAGTTTTTGTGTCTTATGTTATAAAATTTTGTATCTTACGAGTATGAATTATGTATATCGTCTTTTCAATCCAAGCGAGGTCCATAATGCAATGTTATATATGAAATTTTGTACGTTACGAGTATGAATTCTGTACCTTGTTGTTTCAATCCATAATTCATAATGCTATGTGAATCCTGGTCCATAATACAATGTTATATATGAAATTTTGTACGTTACGAGTATGAATTCTGTACCTTGTTGTTTCAATGCATAATTCATAATGCTATGTGAATCCTGGTCCATAACATAAATGGTAACATTTGACACCATTTAGAGGGAGTGGGAGAGAGAGATTAAATATGAGTGTATATACATATGCATTGTATGTGTGTATGCATAGGGGAACCAAACGCACTTCCTATAATCAAGGTTAAACGGTTGGTTGATATGACTACTCGTTTACCTTCAACAATTTCGTTTGGCCATGCCATGGCCAAAACCCAAACACTCAATCACCACCGGCAGCCACCTCTTCCGTCCGTCGTGAAGCGCCACCACCGTTTTGCATGCCGCATGAACAAAGCATTCCCATTTTCAACATAATCAACAATGATGTGACTTTTTTTCTCCTTTACTTTCCTTTCTGTAAAGTAACGGTCCGCTATTTTGATGGCGGACATTGTGAAACAAATTCTAGCGAAGCCTATACAACTGGCGGACCTGGTAATCAAAAACGCCGACGGCGTCAGCTCCTTCCGGCAAGAATGTCATGAGGTCAAAGTGAAAACGGAGAAGCTGGTCGGGCTTCTCCGGCAGGCGGCGCGTGCGAGCGGCGATTTGTACGAGCGGCCTACGCGCCGGATAATTGAGGATACGGAGCAGGTTCTCGATAAGGCGCTGGCGTTGATCCTGAAGTGCCGCGCGAGCGGGTTGAGCAAGGTGTTCACCATCATCCCCGCCGCCGCGTTCCGGAAAACCACCGTTCAGCTGGAGAATTCCATCGGCGATGTCTCGTGGCTGCTGCGCGTGTCCACGCCGGCGGACGACCGCGACGACGAGTACCTCGGCCTTCCTCCGATCGCCGCCAATGAGCCGATCCTGTGCCTGATCTGGGAGCAGATCGCGATCCTGTGCTCGGGGTCCTTGGAGGAGCGCGCCGACGCGGCGGCTTCCCTGGTGTCTCTGGCCCGCGACAACGATCGGTACGGGAAACTAATCATCGAGGAAGGCGGGGTGGCGCAGCTCTTGAGGCTCGCGAAAGATGGGCGATTGGAAGGGCAGGAGAACGCGTCGAGAGCGGTGGGGCTGCTCGGCCGGGATCCAGAAAGCGTAGAACACATCGTGAATGCTGGTGTCTGCCAAGTGTTTGCGAAAATTCTCAAAGAAGGGCACATGAAGGTTCAGGTAGTGGTAGCCTGGGCTATATCCGAATTAGCAGCCAATTACCCCAAATGCCAAGACCATTTCTCCCAAACCAACACAATCCGGTTACTAGTTAGCCATCTCGCCTTTGAAACCATTCAAGAACACAGCAAATACACCATCCCTACCAAACACCAGATGTCCATTCACACAGTTGCGATGACCAAATCACAAGAATCCGAATCCAATATTCCTCACCCATTGAGTAATGGAATAGGGAAGCAAATACAGAACGTGGTAACAGACACATTGGCCAAGAAATCATCTAATTTAGCCCCAAAGGAGGAGACCAAGCAGCAGCCTAATGAAGTTGCCAATAATGCCAAGCCCAATAATAACTCAAGAAAGACGAAAACCCGGAACAGTGTCAAGAAAGCGAGGCAGCGCCAGGTAGCCTTTGCAGGGTCCAGCATTAAGGGCAGGGAGTACGAAGACCCTGAAACGAAAGCCGAGATGAAAGCCATGTCGGCCCGAGCTCTCAGGCATCTCTGCGCGCATAACTTCACAGTCTGCACCTCTGTCACAGAATCCCGAGCCCTTCTGTGCTTCTCAGCTTTGCTCGAGAAGGGAGCTGACGACGTCCAATACTACTCCGCCATGGCGCTAATGGAGATCACATCCGTGGCCGAGCAGCACTCAGACTTGCGCCGCTCAGCTTTCAAACCCAACGCCCCGGCTGCCAAGGCCGTGGTGGACCAGTTCTTGAAAATCATCGAGAAAGCCGATTCAGACCTCCTCATCCCCAGCATTAGGTCTATTGGGAACTTAGCCAGGACTTTTCGAGCCACCGAGACAAGAATCATTGGCCCGTTGGTAGCCCTCCTCGAGGACAGGGAACCCGAGGTGATTAGCGAGGCAGCCATCGCACTAAACAAGTTTGCCTGCGACGATAACTTCCTCCATGTCAATCACAGCAAGGCGATAATTCAAGGAGGGGGCACAAAGTCCATAATCCCACACATTTACTTTGGGGAGCAAATGGTTCAAATCCCTTCCATAATATTGTTGTGTTACATCGCAATGAGCATCCCCGAAAGCGAGCAGCTAGCAGAGGAGGACGCGTTTATAGTTTTCGAGTGGTCTATGAAGCAATCGCACTTGATGAATGATGCCACAGTTCAAAGATTAGTAGAGGAAGGCAGGAGGAGTTTGGAACTTTATCAATCTAGAAGTTCAAGGGGATATTGATTTAATTAGTCAGGGCACGTAATGTGCTTTGTGAGCACATATGCCACAGGTTTATGGTTCTTTTTAGAGCTTTTTAGTAGACATTCTCATTTTGTGTATACATTGTACATACTGGCTTTTCTTGTTGGATGAACTAAGACCTTTCTTCTTCTTAATCACTGAATGCAATACTTCTTTTATTATTCCCCCTCCCCCTCCTTATGCGAGAAAGGATATTGGTGTCGGCACGAGCTTAGCTCACTGATTCAATAGACAGTATTTGGAAGAAGGGATTAAGGGCCGAAACTGACACCCGCATTTGGCTGCTGAACTTACTGAGTTACGTTCTCCTAAATGTTCTGTCAGACCGGAGTGTGGAGGACTCTCTTGGGATTGAGGATTTAACTTTTTGGAAAAGAAAGGATATTGGTGACAAAAAGTGAAAAATGATATCCGTCGTCTACTCTGTTTGATCCAATAGTTGTGTAGCTGCATTCCAATGCTTTATTCAAGGAATTGTAGAATAGGATTATATGAATGAGAATGAGGACAAAGCTCAGTTTCCACCTTTGAAGGTCGACGTGCTTTGTAGCAACCTTCTCTACTAGGTGGGTTATGGCAAGCTCTAGCCTTTAGGTTAGTCCCCTGTTACGCTTGTAAATTCCATGACTCAGATGGTCATGGTTTGAGTGGTTTTCAGCTTGAGGAAGGCATCCCAGGTTTAAGTTATGAGCGTTAAGAGACGGCCGACATTCTATACAAGTGTGATATAATGGTGGGTGAGTCAATAGTGAGACCGATAGTGACATCACGAATCTTCAAGAAGAGATTTCTTCTTGGGCTGCTGATTGCAGAGATCTTCGACCTCGACAATCCTTTATAATTTATTGGGTCTTTACCGTGTGAGGTATATTTCACATTGTGCTCTTTTAGATGTAGATACAATTGTATTGAATTGAGTAAACAATACTTTGTGTTCTTTAATTTCTGTTTGATTTACTTTCCGCACAAAGTCATATCGTTGCACTAACGGGTTAAACAGACGTGATGTGGGTTAGCGATAAGACAAGAACTAAAACAGTTAAGTCTAAAAGATAACCAAAAATCCTTAATATTATGAATACAGACAATCACTTATATCATGAACCGGGTCCACATAGCATGAGGTACAAAATTCATACTAGTAAGGTACAAAATTTCATAAGATAAAGACAAAAAATCGCAACACATGACACATACACATGATATAAATTTACTTATTTTCAAATCTGATTTAGGTACATAATTTGTGTTTATAGGCAAAAAATTTCACAACACAAAACACAAAAATTCATAATATAAGACAATCACTAATTTGTTTCAAGTGCAGGATTCATACTCTTAAAGTACAGAATTTCATAATACAATACATAAAAACTTACAACATAAGACATGTACACATGCACATATACATAAGAATTTCAGTGCACTGTGAACCCTGATCTATGGTATAAGAATTGATACGGAGTAATAAACAACAGTTTGTTTTAAAACAACACAATTTACCATCATTATGCCATTGACTATAGTCTCAAGGCGAACCATTGAGTTAAGGTACATTTTTAATATATAAAAATACATTTTTAATACACTAAAGTTTCATTTTTTGAAGATACATTATTTGAGTATTAAATGGTACCGGATCATTAATGAACTTTTAATAAATAAATAATGTACATTCAATATATTAAAAATGAACATTTATTCATAGCTCATATGATAATTTGCCTACAATCTATATACATTTACTTGTACAAAGCCATTCCCCTCTGCTAACTTCCACACTCCATAATGAACTTCCGAGCTGATAGGCAACCAATTCATCATATATGAGATGAATCAGTAAATCACCATGTTCAACCAATGGGAAACTTGTCAAACCATATGTGATTTCACTTTAATTAAATGCAGAAATGAAAGATTTGTTTGAGCATGCAATTACCTCTATTTCGATCATCCTCTTTCAAGAAACTCACAGAGGAGTTTTGCAGAGAGAAGAAAGTTGAGAGAACAGAAAAAATGTATTCATCATCTTGTTCAATACAAAGGCCTTAGGCATTTTAAGCTGAGCTAAGAGTGGAAGAAGAAGTTGTAACAGAAAGTAACTGAAAGTTGTTACAGAGGTTATTTATATGCTGAGACACTTCTGCTCTATATTTGATCTATCTTCTGTATGAGTTGACACCCCCCCGCAAGCTGGAGTGTACATACAATGGAGGTCCAGCTTGGAGATTAAGTCACAGAAGGAACTGGGAGCATGAGGCTTTGTAAACACATCAGCTAATTGGTTATGAGTAGACAAATGCATCAGCTTCAGGATTCCCTTTTGTATTTTCTCCCTTACAAGGTGACAGTCGATCTCAATGTGCTTTGTTCTTTCATGGAACACTGGATTTTCAGCAATGGCAATGGCCGATTTGCTGTCACAATAGAGCATGGCTGGAGACTGGCCATCTATCCCTAAGTCTTTGAGTAGGTACAATAGCCACTGTATTTCACATGCTGCTGTGGCCAGGGCTCTATATTCTGCTTCTAAGGAGCTCCTAGATATAGTAACTTGCTTCTTGGACTTCCATGAAACTAGAGAAGTGCCAAAGAATATGTAAAAGCCTGTCACTGATCGTCTAGTATCCGGGCATGCAGCCCAATCAGAGTCAGTGAAACCTTTAATGTTCAAGGAGGAAGTAGCTGAAAAGAACAGACCCTGAGCTGGAGCTGATTTGATGTACCTTAGTACTCTATGAGCTGCTTGCATGTGGATGTCAGTAGGACAATCTAGGAACTGGGATAGCTGTTGAGTTGCATAACTGATGTCAGGTCTAGATATGGTTAGGTACAATAGTTTACCTATAAGTCTTCTGTATTGAGTTGCATCCTCAAGTTTCTTGCCAATTGCCTTGCTGAATTTTATGGATGTGACCATAGGGGTCTTGGCAGGTTTGCAGTGTAGGAAATCTGTTTCCTCAAGAAGTTCCAGAACATATTTCCTTTGTGACATGGAGATACCACTGCTATTCCTTGCAACTTCTAGTCCCAAAAAAAACTTTAGAGGCCCTAGGTCCTTTATGTGAAAGACATTGTCCAGATGTCTCTTAATCTGCTGAACAAGATTCAGGTTGGGGCTTGCTACCACCACATCATCAACATAAACCAATAGTGCCACAAAGGTTTCTCCTTGACCTCTAATGAATAGGGAAGAATCAGAGATAGCCTGTGTGAAACCTATGCTCAGTAGCTCATGAGTCAATTTGACATTCCACTGTCTACTGGCCTGCTTTAGGCCATACAAGGATTTCACCAACTTGCACACTTGTCCAGGTACTAGAGGAGTAAAGCCAGGGGGTAACTGCATGTAAACTTCTTCATTCAAATCCCCATGTAGGAAGGCATTATTCACATCCAATTGATGAAGGACCCAACCTTTAACAGCAGCAACAACTAACAAACTTCTGATGGTTGTTATCTTAGCCACTGGGCTAAAAGTGTCTAGGTAGTCTAGGCCAGGTGTTTGAGTGTAACCCTTAGCAACTAGCCTAGCTTTGTACCTTTCAATGGTTCCATCAGCCTTGAGTTTGGTTTTGTACACCCACCTGCATCCAATGGGTACTTTGTTGGCTGGGAGATCTGTAAGTACCCAAGTATTATTTTCCTGCAAAGCTGCTATTTCATCCTCTATGGCCTTCTTCCAACACTCCTCTTTGATTGCCTCATTGTAGCTTTTAGGTTCCCTAGCTTGCAAAGCATTAACTGCAAAGGTTCTATATGCTTTAGATAGATTGGCATAAGACATGAACTTGGAGATATCATGAGGGGAGGTTCTTTCAGTAGTGACACTCTGGCAGGAGTAATCATTTAGATAGGTTGGTGTTGATCTCATTCTGACTGATCTTCTTGGAGCAGGTATGGGATTTGTGATGCTAGTGTCCTCTACTTCTGGTGGTGTAACCTGAACTTCAGGACAATTGTGACCAGTGTCTGTCACAATAATATCAACAGGAGGATCCTCAGTGTCCATGTAAGGTGTTGTTTCTGATGGCAATGCCAAATCAACTGGCTGAGTAAGACAAGAATTCTGGTATGGGAATAAGTTTTCATAAAAGCTAACATCTCTAGATACCAGTATTTCCTTAGTTTGTAGATCAAACAACTTGTATCCTTTCATTCCATTAGCAAACCCCAGAAAAATACACTTCTTGGCCCTTTGTGCAAACTTGTTCCTTTGACAGCTTGGAATAAGAGCAAAGGCTAAGCAACCAAAAACTCTTAAGTGTTGATATTGTGGCACTTTGTTGAACAAGATCTGATAGGGAATCTTATTATCCAAGGCTGCTGAGGGGAGTCTATTAATTATATATACAGCATGCATAATGCAATCACCCCAAAAGGACTCAGGTAAGTTGGCTTGAAACCTTAGAGCTCTTGCTACTGACAAAATATGGCCATGCTTCCTTTCAACAATACTGTTCTGTTGAGGAGTGTAGGCACAAGATTTCTGATGAAGAATCCCTTTACTTTGATAGAATTCTGACATTAGAAACTCTTTCCCATTATCTGATCTTATGCCTTTTATATTTTTCCCAAATTGTGTGTTAACAAGCTCACAGAAAGATTGCAAAAGTAGCTTGACTTCACTCTTTCTTCTCATGAGATAAACCCAGGTAGCCCTACTGTGATCATCTACCAATGTCAAAAAATACTGATGGCCATAGATAGTAGGAGTGTGATAGGGTCCCCAAATATCAGCATGGATTAAATCAAAACAACTATTTGAAACAGACATGCTAGGTTGAAAAGGTAACCTCTTTTGCTTTGCAAAGTGGCAACACTCACAAACAACAGGTCTATCATTACAAATCTTGTTGTCAACAGTATGAAGAAATCTAATTTTGCCTTCAGAGGCATGTCCCAATCTGGAATGCCAGAAACTACACAAATTGACAGCAGCTTTACAGTGAGAAAAAGCAGGAAAAATAAGCTGATATAGGCCTTTCCTTAGCTCAGCTAGACCAATCATCCTCCCATGGTATTGACCCTGTATAATACATTGATTAGAATGGAATAATGCTTTGCAATTTGATCCTCTTATCAGTTCCCCCAGGGATATCAGATTGTACTGAAATGTGGGAACACATAAGACATTCATCAAGATAAGTTCAGCAGATAGTTGGACATTCCCAATGTGGGATACTTGTGTATTTTGTCTATTTGGGAGATCAACATATATACTCTGGACCTTCTTGGGACTTTGTAAGAGGTGCATACTACACACAATATGATGTGTGGTTCCACTATCAAGAAACCAAGGCAACTCAGAATCTGTTAGACTATTATTAGGCTCAGCAGATTTACCTTCCATCCTTGCATCTGGGATGAAGTTTGCTGATATAGCATTGGCATGGGGTGCACTACTCAGAGGAGAGTTATTGCTTCTTTCGCGATGCATAAACTCCAAGAACCTTCTGTAATCTTCTTGATTAAAGGTGGAGTTGTTCTCTGAGTCTCCAGTTTCTTGAATAGATGTCTGCACTTGATTTGCTGATGCTATAGCTTTGTTTCTTGGCTTCCAACCAGGGGGATAGCCGTGCTTTTTGTAGCACTTTTCAACCGTGTGCCCTGTATATCCGCAAAAACTACATACTGGCTTTGGCTTCTGACTGGAGAAAGACTTTCTAGCATTGGCATCTGTCCTAGTAAAGAAGGCACTAGCTCCTGCTATGTTGTCTATTAGGATGTTGGGATCCATAGTAACCTGCCTTTCCTGTTGAGAAACCATTGAGAAGGCTTCCCCTACATCCGGGAGTGGCTTCATCAACATGATCTGTCGTTTAGTGTTTGTGAAATTTTCATTGAGTCCAGTGAGAAAAACTGACAACATGTCATTCTCTAGATGAGCTCTGACCTTCTCAGAAAGATCCTTTCCACAAGTGCAGCTTGGTGAACACTCACAAGCAGGAACAGGTCTTAAGACAAGCAATTCATCCCACAATAATTTCAGTTGTGTGAAATACTCATTCACAGTAGATGTACCTTGCTTGGTTTGGTGGATTTTTGCTTGAATCTCAGAGATGCGAAACACATCTTGTTGGCTGAATCGTTTCTTCAAATCCTTCCAGACCCCTTCTGCTGTGTTGATCCACAAAACGCCTCTAGCAATTGTCGGAGAGAGGGCTCTGAGGATCCATGACAAGATCATGGTATTGCATTGATCCCAGTAGAAGAACTTAGGATCAGTTGTGCTGGGTATTGGCATCGATCCGTTCACGATCACCATCTTGTTCTTCGATCTTAGGGCCATTTCCATGGCTCTCGCCCATGAGTGATAGTTGGAACGTCCTTCTAGCTGTACTGTCACCAGCTGCAGAGCCGGGCTTTCATTCGGATGAAGGTATAATGGATCTGTACGATCTTTAGGATCATAGCCTGCAGTAGTTGGATTCACCATTGGAATTGAAGCAGGAATTGAACTCGCCGGATTCGTAGACATCGACGGATGAACCATATTCACGGTAGGTGCTCGCCAAGCCATGTTGGCTCTGATACCATTTCAAGAAACTCACAGAGGAGTTTTGCAGAGAGAAGAAAGTTGAGAGAACAGAAAAAATGTATTCATCATCTTGTTCAATACAAAGGCCTTAGGCATTTTAAGTTGAGCTAATAGTGGAAGAAGAAGTTGTAACAGAAAGTAACTGAAAGTTGTTACAGAGGTTATTTATATGCTGAGACACTTCTGCTCTATATTTGATCTATCTTCTGTATGAGTTGACATCCTCTGACTTTTAGCTCCACCATCTGTTAACAAATAAAAGTTATAGTTTAGAACTTAATTAAACCACAAAATGAGACTTCACTTTACTGCAAAAAATTTCAAATTTTCATGAAATTAAACACCCTACCAACCTTTGAGGTCACAACACCACCACCACCACCTTTAAGAAACTGAACTTTTATTCTATTCAACCTTGCCACAACATCTTTCATGTTTAATCGCATTTCAGGAGATTCCATAACACATTGCAATGCCAATTCCAATATAGAGGATACACACTGCAATTTCTCAGTGAAGTCTGTATCCTCGACCCTTATTAAGTTGGGATCTACAACTTGAAGTATTTGATGAGGTACAGAATCTCTTATCCAACTTTTCAAGCTTATATCCTCGTTGAAAGTCTCATCTGTGGGTCTTCTTTTCGAAAATGTTTCCATTACCACAATTCCGAAACTGTAAGTGTCACATTGTGTAGATACCATTCCCATCAATCCATATTCTACAGTTGTGAAACCAACAATTATCACAATTGAATTACAAATTTAAACAAAGGACGGTATCTATGCATGCATGCCAACTTAGAAGATAAGTATTGAAATTTTATGAATAAATTGAAGGTTGAAATTACATTTACCTGGTGCCATATAGCCCAATGTTGCTAGAGTTTCTGTGTGTGTGAAGGCTTCCTCCTTAGTTAACAACTTTGTCACACTAAAATCGCTTACATGGGCAACCATTTCTTCGTCTAAGAGCACATTCGCAGGCTTTAAGTCACAATGAACCACTGGTTTTGAGTAGTAATGATGAAGATACTCCAAAGCTGACGCAACATCAATTATTATATTCAACCTTTGAACAATATCTAAGATGTTACTTTGTGAATGTAACCATTGGTCAAGACTTCCATTCGACATGTACTCCAGAATCAAGGCTTTAAAGTTGTCAATAAAGCAACCAGCAATCACTTTGGTGAGATTTCGGTGGCGCAAACTCCTGAGAATTTCGCACTCAACTTCAAAACTCATTAGGGCACTTTCTGATTGATTAAACACTTTCACCGCTACCAACGTTCCATTTTCCAAAATCCCTTTATACACGGAACTAAAACCCCCCGAACCTATGAGATTACTTTGGCTAAATCCACAAGTAGCCCTTGAGAGTTCATAATAAGAAACCCTTACTTCTGGTAATGGAATGCGGATACCCATCACACTTCGGGCTTCACATTTCTTTGGTTTCCTTGAAATAATAAGAGCAATAATTACAAAAGTAATTATTACTACAGCTCCTAAAGATGTAAGGGAAGCAAGAAGTCTTGTTTTAATTCTTGAATGGTGGGCAGAATGGCAGGCTGGGACATTAAATCTAGGAATTCCACAAAGCTCCTCATTAAACATAAATGATGCACTTGTGAAGTTTTCGAAACAACCTCTTGATGGAATTTCACCACTCAATCTATTGAACGAGACATTAAAGTATTTGAGGTATGCGAGTCTTTCCAAAGACATTGGAATCGAACCAGAGAGTTTGTTCAGAGACAAGTCCAAGAATTCCAAAGAAACAATTTGACTTATTTGCTCAGGAATAAAACCTTCTAATCTATTGTGTGCAAGGGAAATAGATTTCAAATTTTGCAGTTGCCCAATTGTGACCGGGATATTTCCTGAGATCTCATTGTATGACAGGTCAAGAGAGTAGAGTGCCCTTAAACCTGCAACTTCAATGGGTATAAATCCACCCAAGAAATTAGAACTCAAATCAAGTACCAGCAGATCCCTAAGAGAACACAAACTTGGAGGAATTCCAAAAGACAAACGATTTGAACCCAAGTAGACTTTTCTAAGGGAAGTGCTATTACCAAAACATTTCAACACCCCACCAGACAGTTGATTATTGCTTAAACTTATCTCACCCAGATACTGGAGTTCACAAAGGGTATGAGGAATAGGACCACTCAATTTGTTATTATCAAGATACAACACTTGAACCTTAAGCACCCTACCTAGCATTGGTGGAATAATCCCAGTCAAGGTATTGCTTTCCAAATTCAAATAAATCAAGTTACTTAAGTTTCCAAGTTGATTTGGAATGATGCCCTTTAACCCAGAACCTGCTATAGAGAGATAATCAAGAGAGGAAGAAAGATTCCCAATTGATGCAGGAAGGATAGCATGTAATGGGTTATCATCTAAGTTCACTTCTCTTAAATAAGTGCAACGCGCCAAAGCGTTGATGATACTTAACTCTCGTGATGCAGCATTGTTAGTGAAGTTGTTAGCACCTAAATATAGTCGTTCAAGTCGCCTTAGATTACCAAGAAATGTAGGCAAGGTGCCACTGAATTCGTTCCCGGCAATGGATAAGACAGTAAGTTTTGAACAATTTGAGATGGAGTATGGTATCACTCCAGAGAGAAAATTGTCAAGCAAAAAAAAGGCTTCTAAATCCTTTAGAGCATAACCCATTCCTGTAGGAAGTCTGCCCACAAGGTAGTTGCCTGAAAATGCAATCCAATTTAATGAAGAAATGTTGAAGATTCCCTCTGGTATGTGCCCACTTACATTGACAAATGTTATAGCTATGACCTTCAAGCTATGAAGTTTCCCCAACTCTTGAGGTAATACACCTGCCAAATGTTAATTAATCTTCTTCTTTTAGCTCATTAAAATATTAAATAAGAGTTAATATCATTTGAGGACCTCCTAGTATAGTGGTTTTGCCACGTTTAGTCCTAAATTATCAAATTGACCATCTGTGATCCTTCGACTTTTAAATTAAATCATTCGTGGTCCAAGTTAACCACCTGTGGTCCTTCAACTTTCGAAATTTAACCAACCATGGTCATTTCAAGAGGACCACGGGTGGTTAAATTTTAAAAGTTGAAGGACCATGAGTGGTTAACTTGGACCACGAATGGTTAAATTTGAAAGTCAAAGGACCACAAATGGTCAATTTAAAAGTTTAGGACTAAATGTGGCAAAACCACTATACTCAGATGACCCCATGTGACATTAACTCTATTAAATAAAGAGTCATATATATATAAATTTATAACTGCCAATGACCTTGTTGTCAAGTGACACGAAGTGACTCTTTCAGATGAGAGGTTATAGTTTGAGTCTCAGTAGGGATGATATAAGTTTAAATGAACAAATACTACATTGTAATGTACCTCCAAAGTTGTTGAATCCAAGATATATAATCTCAAGTTTGGTTAAATTGCCAATTTCCTTTGGTATAGCTCCTAAGACAACCAAAAACAAGTATTTGGCCGGGTGAGGAAAAATTAGCAAGTATAAATACGAGTTAATTTTTGAAATGGTACCTAGGCTATAATGAAATTACTAATTTGGTTCTGGATTTTTTTTTTTTATTTTGCGTAATTAACTTCAACTTTAAAAATCTTAACTAATTTGGTCTTCCGTTTGTTTAGCCGTCAAACGTCTGTTTAATTCGAGGGTATTGCTGGAATTTCATATTACTTCCCGGGCTGCTCAGGACCAAATTGGTAATTATAGTCAATGAACCATTTCGGTAATTAACTCTTCGATTTAATAAGAGATGAAATGGTGCATGTGATGTGAAATTTCAGTAGTACCCTCGAATTAAATAGATTTTTGATGTTGACCGAACGAAGGACAAAATTGATTAAGATTTTCAAAATTAAAGATTTAATTAGACAAATATATATATACATATATATATATATATATATATATATATATATATATATATATATATTCAAGGACCAAATTAATCATTTCACTCTAGCCAAGAGATTATTTCGATAATTATCTCTATAATATTTATCTATCAAAGTTATCTAGTTTATATGAAGATGTACCCGTAAAATTGTTGTTATATGAATAAAGATTAAGTAAGGATGGCAAACTGCATATCTCCTTTGGAAAAGCACCTGCAAAAATGTTTTTCATATTAATTAATAAATGGGAGGCATGCAGGGACATAATTTCACAGAATCTCTATATCATAACTAGCCTTCACATTACAATAACAAACAACTTCCCCAAGATATGAGTAACAACTATGTTGCCGGCATGAGCAGCTCAATTGATTATAGAGGTAATTGTGACAATAGACTAAGGATCGAGTATCACCAACGATAGTGTGGGAGCAACTTCTCAAAATGAGGGGCTCCTTGTGCGTAGTGGACAAAAATTTAGCATCTATTAATCAGTTGAGTCATCATGATTTATCTCTCCACAAATTGTCGGACCGGGGTGTGGAGACGCTTGGGGTGGACGATTCCACATTTTTGTCACAAAAGTAACAACTATGCTACCATTTATTATGTGCAGTTATATATCGAGTAATTAATACAATCAACTAAAAAATAAAAAAAAAATTAATTTATATGTACTCATCTTCATCAACTGTAACTTTCAAAAACAATTTTATCAATTTAACTAGCTAGTATTATTTTATGCGCGATGCGCAAAAAATAGGTGTCAATTTTAAAATTTTAAAATTTTAAATTTATTTAGATTTTAATTTAGATATTTAAATTATTGTAAATAATAATAATAATAATAATAATAATAATAATAATGTAAAACATTTTTATAAATTTGATATTTATATTTTAGAAATAACTAGCAAATAACTCCAATATATAATGTGTATATTATTATTATTACTAGTAATTCACCCGCGCGATGCACGGGAAAAAATTATGTTATTATAAATATAAATAAAAAATAGAAAAACTAAAATATTTTAAATTATTTAATATAATAATATTTTTGAGCTTCCATTGGTCAAATATTTATTATTTTTATAGAATACAAAATTACAATTAAAATTAAAATTATAATTTTTTATGGTTAATATAATCTCTAATTATGTGCATATTCAAATGAATTTATAGAGAGAATTTACATAATTACATCGATTTATTCTTAATTGTATTTCATCTATATTATAATTTTCACAATACGAATAATAACTAAGATAATTACATTTGGAAAGCAAATTTTAAATTTTGTAGGTGTAAATTTAAACTCTAATTGAACACATTTTTTATATGATTATATAATATATAGTTATTTTATTTTTCAAAAGTATATTTTTTATATGATTATATAATATATAGCTATTTTATTTTTTAAATGTTGTGCTTTTATTTTTTTTATTTTTATTTTATAATAAAGGATGTTGTTGCATTAATTGTAACATTAAATATTTCTCAAACCATATAGCTTTATTATATAAAGGATTATTATTATTATTATTATTATTATTATTATTGTTATTATTATTATTATTATTGAAGAAGATAAGCAAATATATGGTGGATGCATGTGCACGGTAACAATAGTGGAAAAGATAACGAAAAGAGTTTATTACCGGTTTAGTCCCTTGACTATATTTCTTACCCAATTAAGTCCTCCAACTATCAAAAGTTAACCAATTTAGTCCTTAGTTAATTCAGCCATCCAACAACCGTTAATTTGGAGGCTAGTTTAGGAATTTCCCTTCACTAGCCCCATGAGTGCCCCATTTATACGTGATATTAACACAATTCTGATCATCAAGACACTCCGATAATCTCTCTGACCCAAATATTCCTCCATTCGCCTTCTCGAAGTACCCTTCGACGGAACAGAGCACGGGCTCCCGCCGGAAGCCGAGACTGCCTAAGTTTTCCCTTACAACGTCGAGCTACGCCTCCTCGAACTCTCCCCTCCGACGGAGGAGGAAGTCAAGCACCACTATGAGATGCTCGTGGAAGATATCAACCACATTGAGTCCAGGAAAGTCCCCTTGCCGAATTACGACGCGCATGCCGCCGGTGTCGGTGCCGCCAAGGTCTCGTCGTCGTCGTATGCACTGATGCAGCAGGAGAAGAAGAAGTAATTCATTACTATTTTTTGTAAGAAGAGGGAAATACCCATATAAAAATCTAAAAAGAAAGCCAGTAAAATTACGAGTTTCGAAAGATTAAAAAGTGAAGTGGGAAGAAAGCCAGTAAAATTATTATCGCCCAAATATAAAAATCTAAGCTTGGGTAAGAGACCAAGCCAAGAAGAAATATTTCCAGTAAAATCATTGCCACTACACTCAAGAGTTTTGAGACGTCGTAATTGAGAAAGTTCTTCAGGAAGGGAATTATAAAAATTGTTTTGGCTTAAGTTAAGCAAAACAAGAAATGATAAGTTTCCCAAGTGTGGAGATAACTCTCCAACTAGACTCATGTTAAAAAGGTCTAAAGTAATGACTCTATTGTGGCGAGAGCCACAAGTGACTCCAATCCAATTGCATGGAGATTTGCTATTAACAGACCAGTTGCTTGCTAAGATGTTGTGAGGATCGAAAGAAATTTTTGATTTTAGAGAGAGAAGGGCATATTTGTCGGTTGAAATATTGGTATTGGCATTAACGGTTAAGCAAACCACTAGAGAGTGCAAGAAGAAGATGGGCAAGGAGAAATAATGCCGAGTGATCTCCATGAAATACCAAAATCCAATACGTGAGCAAGTATTTGGCTTTGATTGAAATGATTTACAAACTGAGTGTAAGTTTTTATAACCAAATTGGTGCAGGGACGGAAATTTCTACAAGCCAGTATTTCAGTTGATTGATTCAACATGTGCCCTCCATTATTGTGGCGCGTCAGCTTAGACCCCTCCATTTTCCCATCGCTTTGTTGTTGTTGCATTAAAGTCCTCAAATGCATTTGGAGAGAAGTGTAATTGTTGGTGACCTGATTGAACATGTCCCTCAAACTTCAATTCTCGCCATATATTCATCCTAATTATAACATTATTTATTGAGTGAATTCATTTTTGGTATTATAGGGTGCATTCCAATTTTAGTCCACCATTATTTGTCTTGTAACATTACAAGCATTCTTATGTTGAGTGTTCTACTTTTAGTTTACCATTAGAATTTTCATCATTTGGCCGTGAAATTCAGAGGTACTTTGGTCTTTTTAGGTTTTTCTTGCTTTTCACTTGTTTTCATTTCCCTTTCCTAGTCAAATTGCAGAGGAATTCTTATACCCATTTCAATCTACATCTCACTACACTTCAGCACTGCCATGACTCTGATCCGAGGATTCCACTAACCGAATCCAACATCGATTCTAGCGACGTGGCGCAGAACTTCGATTCGCCCTTCATGGCCAGGAACTCGCAGTGCACTAGCGTCTGTTCCATGGCTCTCGCCTGCGGAGAGGGAGAATGGAATGGAATCGGCGTCCGCCCTGGAGAGGAGACGAGGAGACGACGACATCGAGGCGTCTCCGACGGCGGTGAAGAAGTTCTGCAGTGTTTTGCCGAGTTTTTTACAATTTTGGTCCCACGACTATAGTGGCACTATCAGAATTGATCCACGACTTTCAAACCTTGCAATTTTAGTCCACGACTATTGTTTTTTTGGCAAAAATGGTCCTTCCGGCCACTTTTCCGTCAAAATTCCACCGGAGAAATTTTTTTTCATTTGTAGAAGGGCTAAAATGGCTAAATTTGCGTAGTACGAAAAGTGCAGAATATGCTTTTATATAAAGTGTATTGCAAACCTGGAGTATTGATGTTGTTATTGCAAACGAAATGTCAAATTTAGCCCTCTTAAAAATGAAGAAGTTTTCCTTCGGTGGAATTTTGACGGAAAAGTGGCCGGAAGGACCATTTTTGCCAAAAAAACATTAGTCGTGGACTAAAATTACAAAGTTCGAAAGTCGTGGATCAATTCTGATAGTGCCACTATAGTCGTGGGACCAAAAGTGCAAAAAACTCGTGTTTTGCCCGTCTTGAGAACATCCGGAGGTTTAATTGTCTGATTTCGTTAGTCAAATATGGTCTGGGATGGGAAGAAAGGGCAAAGGAAAAGCTTCAACCATGAATTGACGCAATTGCCCTTGAATTTTACGGATTTGAGAAGGAAAAGTTAACGGTACGTTGATTAAAAGTGGAACACTTAACACAGAGGGTTGTAATGTGGCAAGACAAATAATGGTGGACTAAAATTGGAATGCACCTTATAATGGTATGACAAAAAATGAAATCCACTCTTATTTATTATTTAAATTGGAATCCACTCCATATTGGTTCGTGTTCTGCGGAGGAAGCTGAAGCCTGGGCTGTTCTTCAAGGGCTGCGGTTGGCGGCTGCTCGAGGAGTCCAACGCGTTATCGTCGAAAGTGATTCTATTAGCATCATACAAGAGCTTAATGTTGCCAGCCAGGCTCCAGGCATAAGAAGGAACCTCGTTTTAGCCTGCGCGCAGGAGAGGGATAGATTCGAGGAGGTGCAGTTCAAGCACATCGCCAGGGAACAGAATAGAGTTGCGGATGAGCTCGCGGCCTCCGCGCTAACCCATTCGTTGGGTATTTGGGTCCGCGAGTCTCCACCAGTTTCAGTCTGAGCGTTGCTCTGGGAAGACATGGTCGGAGTTAGAGTTCAACGTGGTAGCGTCGCTACGCACACGTCGAGGAACGCTCACTAGTTGTCTACCGGGTTACACCCTCATATTCTTCCAAAAAAAAAAGTATAATTACACAAATATTAGCATAATTGACTAATAATTATTATGGTACGTAATTAAATAAATAATTATCATCATAATAATAATATAATGACAATTAAACATGGCTCGAATTACAATTAATTTTTTGATTATATATATATACACACACTTAAGATATAATACTATGAGAAAAAAAAATTATCATTTCTATTCTTCCGCATATGGTAATTACCATGATAATGTTATGTTAATATATATATATATATATATATATATATATATATATATATATATATATATATGTTTGCGTTCAGGTGAGAACTACTCGCCCATGAGAGAATTGAGAACCATTCAGTGTCGTTCACGTGTCCAGATCTTAAGGGATGAGAAACACTAATTTAAAAAAAAAAAATAATACGGTGATATTTTAATAAATAATTGAACATCGAAATGAAAGTAAAATATGTTACAAGCAAGTAACAGTTTCATATAGTGCACCTCAGTACATGTAAAATGTATTATAGGTGCAAGTAAAATTTACACTAAGCATCAAAACTAAGTGCACCTAACGTTATAACTAGGTGCACTTATAGTTATAAGTAGTTGCACCTAGGTGCATGAATACTAACAAGGTAAAATTACATGCACTTGTAAGTGAAAGTAGGTGCACTTGTAAGTGATTTTACCTGCACTTTTTACTTATAAAGGTGCAACAACTACTTGCACTTATAACACATTTACATGCACCAAAATTTGAGTTATTTACGAAAATGCCTCCGCGTTGTTTTTTAAAAATAATATTTGATTCGTTGATCTGATCACGTGGACGGCGCTGAATGGTTCTTATTTTTCGCCTGGACGACCGTTCGCATGAGAGTGTGACCATATATATATATATATATATATATATATATATATATATATATATATATATATATATATATATATTATACTTAAGGTATTAAGTATAATTGCACAATATTCGTATAATTACCTTATAATTATTATGGTAATTATAAGAATTATTTGTACATATATCAATATAATCGACTAATAATTATTATAGTAAATAAATTAATATACTTTTAAATAATGTACTTTCAGTAATTAGATACTCCGTAATATAATTTATATACACAAATAATATATAGAATACTTTTTATTTATAATCTACACAATTATATGGTTCATGCATGGTCCACACAATAATGATTGTCACATGTCTAAAGTCTACAATCAGCCAGAGTCTTTTATGTCTTCCTCACATTCAATCGCAACTACTACCGTCAATATCTGTACTAACTACGATAGGGATTAGAGAAGTGGAGACTCAGTCCAAAATCTATTTTAGGTGACATTTGATTTAATTACGATATAGAAACTGAAGAAATATGAATAACTTTATACATATTTTTTTGTTACTTGGTTTGTTAAAAAAGAGAGTATGAGCAAAATTTTTAAAAATGATATCTTAATATTTTTTGAAAGCCAAAAGAAACAGATTATATCTTAATATTTAGTTGTTTATGAATTAAAAAAAAAAAAAAACTTGTAATAAATGATTGAGGTATCCACACTATATATATCTATAAATCTACAAATTAAGAGCCATTAAAGTTAAACCCGGAACTAAAAAATGTTGTATAATTATTTGTTAAAATAAATTGTTCATATTATTTTGATTTTAATATTTTTTATGATTTTCTTTCTTTACCCTCTATTATATTATATTATATTATTTTTTCTTCCTTATCCTTAAAATAACTCTGCATTCCGTTAGTATAAACATTAGTAACGGAATATTCTGTTAACTATTTATTATTCTCAACTTATTCATTAATTAATTTTTATAAGAAAGGTCTTATGTTCGAACCTCATCCCTTAAAAATTAGTATAATTGTTAAACATATACTACGAATATGTTAAATTGTATTTAAAAACTACAATATAAAATTTAACATAAACTTTGGTAGAATAATTAGCCCAACTAAATACATAGAATTCAAAGTTGAGCATCAAAGATTATAAATCAGGAACCTTGAAAATCATTATCTTGCATTTAATTAATCTTTTTTTGGTAAAATAAGTTTTTTTTTTTTTTTTGGTTTAATTAATCTTTTTTTGATTATTTATAACGAGACTCAATATTTCAATTATGGTTTTGCATTATTGGAATGATTTACGTCATTATGGTATTTATATTTTTTGTATGTATTTCTATAATGATATAATTGTACATTACTTTACAAATACTGTACTATTCTTTTTTTTTTAATCAGACAAAATTGTTTTTACGTCATGTCAGACATGCGCAACCTAACTACAAAGTTGTTGACCAGAAATAAAACTACACCTGGACTCTAATGGAGCGTTTGGTTGGTGGGAATTACAATTCCATTCCTACCTAATTCTCACATAATTCCGAAGGCAAGTAAATTCTTTCATTTGGTTGGAGGGAGTTTCAATTCCATTTCCTCATTTTCATGGAATTTGAATCCCATACTCCCCTTGGTATTTCCATTCTATGGATTTTAGGAAGAAAAAATTTAACTTTGAGATAAAACTACTCATCTCTCTTTTTAACCTAAAATTAATGTTTGACCGCTTTCTTTCGATTATAGTGTGTCTTCTTCTTCTACTCTCAACACAGAACGTCAATCAATAGGTCAACCTCAATCAAATATGTGTTCTCAAAACTCTCTTATCTATTTTATTGCTTTTGTTATGCAATTTTAGAATTTGTTTACAACGTGTTACATAAATTTTCAAAAGAAAAATTTGAATTTGGTCATTTAGGATTAATAATAACAACAACAACAACAATAACAACAACAACAACAATAACAAGTATGGGCATTTTAGACTTTAAAAAAAAATAGAAGAAGAAAAACACTTTATACTACCTATTTCCTTTCAATTCGCATGCATACCAAACATTGGAATTGAAATTCCTAGTAATTCTATTCCTGTAAACCAAAAATTGGAATTTAAATTCCTAGTAATTCTATTCCTGTAAACCAAAAATTGGAATTTAAATTCCTAGTAATTCATCTCCCATGGAATTGTAATTCCTTTCCCACGTAATTCCTTCCCTCCAACCAAACGCCCCGTAAATGGTAGGACCATTGTCCAAATAATTGACAATATTGACATCCCACTGGCTTCAATTGAACAAGTTCACACATCATTCCCAAAATTTTATCAATGCATGAAAACTTCTAAAAATTTGTAAGTTAATTTTTACTATATCATTATAACAATATCTATTGTAAGCATATATTTTGAATTATTTATTATCATCTTCTATTTACAGCAATTGTAAAAATTGTCATTGACAAACTCCAAAAATAATTTGTCTCAACAACGAATGGAAATTGACAGGATAATAGGGCTGACACCCGACCCGGATCATAAGTGTGCATCTGACCCGGCACCATATTTGACCCGACACCGCATGGATGCTCCAACGGTTAGAATTCCAACAGGTGTCACATTTATTGTCATTGAAGCCATCATTGATGCCACCATTGATGAGAGAGAGTTAAAGCCTCAACGCCTCATTCATGACTCTTCATATTCTTGCCGTTAGCTCAGCTCCCCAAGGATGTCTCTTCATGTTGTTACCGTTAGGACCTAGCATAAATAGAACTTCCCTCAGCTGAGCAGGGGACTGTACTTTCTATACTGAGACAAAAAGCAATACAAATATTGTTACTCTCACATAGCATTATTATATTATTATTACCGGTAACGTTATTACCGTCATT